AAATAGGCCATGATTGGCAACGATAAAGATACCAGAAATCCACAAGGTAAGGGTACCAGGGACTAGAGGAGGTTAGAAAAACCCAAACAGTGGCGGCAGCAAAAAACGTTCAGTAGCGAAGGAATGGAGCACTGCGAAGAATAGAGTTGTGCAGATGGAGGAGAGGAAAGAGAAGGCACAGGAGGTGGATTAGTGTCCAATCATGGTTTAGCCTCTGCAATACATTCTGAAATAGCTTCAAGTGTTTCAGAATTTGAAGACTATGGGAGACAAATATTGGAGATTTATTTATTTATTTATTTATTTATTTATAATTTGAGCACACTTACAGAGGTACAAAAAAAATACAGATAAGAGCAGCATGCCAAAGCCACTTATACTATGCATAGCATTACGGGCTGGCTTAAAATTAACTTAAGATTAACTAAGCAATGATGAAATCAGTGAAAAACATTAATGTAAACTGATTACTATAAAGCACAAGTGAGTATTACAAAGACAGGTCATATGGTTGCATGCATTGTTGTAAATTCAGTAGAATGGAGTATTCTGTTAGGTAGTGAATTTAAAAAATAATAAAGTTAGATTGGGTTTTAGGTTTAACATTTATGTGATATAATTGTGAAAACATTTAAGAATACAATTTAAAGGTTCAGTTATTCAGTATTTATTTGGTTTTGGGTGAGTAAGTGATCTTTGAGAAGAGACTTGAATTTATAAACAGGTAGTGTTTCTTTTATATTTACAGGTAATGAATTCCAGATTTTAGGGCCTTTTATGTGCATTGAGTTTTTGCATAGCGTGAGATGGACACGAGGAATATCAAAGAGTGATCTGTGCCTTGTGTTATGGTCATGTGTTCTGTTGAGGTTGGCAAGGAGATGTTTGAGGGGAGGAGGGCGAGTAATGATTGAGACAGCAATGGACTGTACCAAAGTAGGGGGGGAACGAAAGGGTGGAGGGAACTGGAGAAGTGTGGGAGGGGACAGAAGAGGCAGAAACCTAGGAGGGGGCAGAAGAGAAAGCTTAGGAGGGGACAGGGGAAGAAGGCACAGTACAAGGAGGGTGAACCTTCACACTTGTAACAGCCAGTGAGGGGAAGAACCAGGTAGAGACAGGAAAGGTAAAATGTGGAGGTGGAAGAAGGGATTAAAGGAGATTTGAGCTTCTGAGAAGTATAGGGGTGATTGGAAGGTGTCGTCGTATGAGGTCTTGTCGATACCAGGGCTTGTGAGGGAGAACACAAAGAAGCGAGAACAGGCCGAGGTGTTGAGGTGGGGACTTTCAGAGTCCAGGACAACAAAAGAATTAAGAGACAGGAGTGACTATGGAAGGAGTAACCACAGAGGAGGCTGCAGAAGATGGGACCCCAGAGGTGGGGGTATGTTTAGAAACATGAGAATAAGAAATACGGAGTAGTCTCCCTTAGAGGCATGAGAAACTGCCATAGCATAGGGGAAACCTGCTTCTGAGGCACTGGATTTATCCCTCATTTAAGTCGACTTGGCAACGGCAAGAGTAAGAAGGGCGAGCCTCACGACAATTAAGGCAAGAGGTACATCAACTACAAGATGCATTAGAATGGTCATTGGCACCACAGATTGAGCATTTGGCTATAGACCTGCAATATTTCACTGGATGACCAAATCGCCAGCAATTTCTGTTGCAGTGTAGGGATCACCTTTCGAACTTGTAAATGATGCCCTGCTACATAAACAGAGGATGGGAGTTCATGGCTGTCGAAAGTTAATCGAGCCACATTGCAGGGGTATTGTCTCTGCCCGTGGGCAGGATGGACATAAGCATCTACTTTGAGGACTGGGAAATCTTGGAGTTCCAGCTGTTCGAGAATGCTGTTGCCACACGTCTGGAAATTCTGTTGAACTATGGTTTGGGGCAGAATGACAGTACCACTACAAGAATTGAGGGAATTGTTTTTCGATAGTGACAGGGATAGTATCGATATGTGAAAGAGAAAGATCATGAGCCTGGGTTATGATGCATGTACCACTGAGTGTGCGAAAGGAAATGTCTAACAACACGGCATAGTAGCGCCTTGCCAATACTATGGTCGGAAAGATAGGCAAGAGAGGAAGTCTCAAAGTAAAGAATTTAGTCCATTGTGGAAAGGGAGTGCATGACACATCAGCATTTTCTGAGTAGAACGAGAAGGTGGTGAAGTAGTATCGGGCAATTGTCGTTGGCATTTAAGAGTGGGACCAGAGTTGGTCTGACATGGGACGAACTGGCGTTTCGAAAATTGCCGCATCGGGTGAGGCCAGAAGCATAGTCAAAGGAGAGCAGAGGTCAGGCAAATCAAAGGAGTCAGTCAAAACACCAGTACCTGAAGTGGGTGATGAAACAGCACCAGCAAGAGGTACAGGGGCATTAGAAGGGTTTGAAGAGTGGTCAAAAAATGAGGCAGGGTCAGAATGGGGTGCAGTATCAAGAAGGGGCCCGGGGGTAGCAGGGTCATGGATTGGGTCCTCCATGGTTAGGTTACTTTACTTTTTGTTTGAGAAAAAAAAAAGGCACAAAGAAAATAGAAATAAAAAAAAAAGGGGGGGGGGAAATGGGGAGGAATAGTTCCTAGGAGGAATGAAAGGACCAGAAATCTCCCTCCATGCCCAAGAGGACCTCAGCACAGCAAGTAGCACAGATGCGGCATGTAATCCATGCCATACCCTATCCTTCATGTTAGTAAACCAGCAATCCAGGATAGCAACCTCACATCTGCCGAGCTACCTCGGTGGACAGAAGAGAGGGTGGCTGGATATCCACCACAAAGCATACCTTCTTTGGCCATCACCCCCAGAATCTGAAAGGCTGCCTCCAGAGATACACCCATTGCCCGAAAGATGCCCAAAGCCACCTCTCCCTGGGAGACCAGAGAGGGATCGGGACATCCCCAGGCAATCCAGATTCCATGGCGAATTACACCACTGCCAAGAACCTCAACAGAATAGGATGGACCCCAGTACTCTTCCCCCTACCTAGGAACTAGCGTGCCTGTGGGAAGAATCCCAAAGGCCAAAAAGAGGAAGGGAATAAGGAAGGGGCAGGGAGGAGGAAAGGAAAAAAGGAGGATGGGGATAATGGAATAGGGATGGGGGGATTGGGGGGTAATTAGGTTCGGTCTGAGGAAGGAGACCAACAGGTCTAATTCCTCAGACCAAGAGCCTCTTCATGCCAAGAAGCCCCCTTGAAGAGGACAGGGGCATTAGAGAGGTCCAAAGGATGGTCCAGTAACAAGGCAGAGTCATAAGAAAGAGGCCCATGCGGACATTTTCATGGATTTGGGGCTCCATGGTTAGGTCTCTGTTTTTAAGAAATAAGAGGGGGGGGAAGGTGAAGGGGTAGCTCCCAGGAGGATTGAAAGGTCCGTAAATCTCCCTCTGTGCTGAAGAGGACCTCAGCAAAGCCAGTAGTGCAGATGTGGCATAGAACCCATGCCATACCCTACCCTTCATGCCAATAAACCAGCAATCTGGGATAGCAACCTCACATCTACCTAGCTACCTCGGCAGACAAAAGAGGGTGGTCTGAAACCTGCCAGTGTGTACTTCCTTCGGCCACCATCTGGAATCCGACAGTCTCCAGAGATACATCCATCACCTGAAAGACACCCGAAGCCTTCCCCCAGTAGACTGGAGGGGATCGGTATCTCCAGATGATCCAGATTCCATGGCAAACTACATTGCCACCAAGGGCCTCAATGGAATGAGATTTACCTCGGTACCCTCCCCCCCAACCTGGAACTGGAATGCCTGAGGGAAGAACCCTACAGGCTGAAAATAGGAAAATGGAAAAGGGATTGGAAAGGGAGGATTGAGTGGAATGGGACAGGGGAGGATTGGGGGGGGTAATTAGGTTCGATTGGAGGAAGACCAAAACGATCAATTCCTCAGACCCAGAGCCTCATTACTACTGCAAGGAACCGCCTTCAAGATGTTTCCATATTTCCTGTATGGGACGTCATGTTTTGCTTTTTTTCAAAGGAAAATGGGTAAAGTCAGTATGTAGAATGATGTTTTATTCATCTTTTATTAATCTCAGGAGTATTTCATTTAACTTTACTTGATCAGTTTTCTCACCAGCTTTAACATACTAGTACCCGTTTTCTACTTTATCGGAATACGAAACTTGCATATTTTAGCAAATTTCAGTACATGACAGTCATGCTGCCGACGTTTGATTTATGAAGAGGCTCATAAGTTGAGGGATACTTACCCGTATTCTTTATTGAATGCTAAGTTACAGTGTCACCCACTTAACTGCCAACAGTAATGTATGAAGACGTTATTTCCATACTTCATTTAACAGATTCGGTTCAATTCATACAATACAGCTTCTGGATAATAGGTTCCCGCTTTATCGCACCTAGAATATTCAACAGGTGGCTTATGCACTTTTTAACTTATCAGGTCTTTTCATTACAAATAATGGCACAAATATCAGCAATATGGAGTTTCCAGGTGATAGTCAACTGTCTGAAAAAGATCAGAACCCAGAATTACAGCCTCATTTGAACCATCACGTTTCACACTGCTTGTCAGTGTGATGCGTCTATGACAGTTCATTTCAGATTCGTCCATACTCTTACTTATTCAGTTTCTTCGACAGTTGCCACTACCGTCAGTCTCTGGTATCTGAAAACAGTGTAAACGTTAATAAAATCTTGCCGCAGAGTATGGAAAAAGACAGGCTTTTGGGTATAACTTCAAGTAGGCTGTTACTAGCCTTCTGACTGAAGATTCATCCATCTTTTTAATTCTGGTACTCAAGTGTTGAACCACTAAATTCGTCGAGGGACACAACCCGAAGAGGATACCCATCCTGATCTTCTACAACTTGTCCTGCTCCGTCTATTATATGTACTCCATCCACCGTCTTGAGAAGTGATGCTCCAATACTGTTATCCAGTCTGAGTTTCATCTTCCCACTTCTCGGTTTCACTTCATTACCCAACTGATCTCTTAACTTTATTGCCAGATTGTCTCTGTCCACTAACGTCACAGTCTCTCCTCCTCCATCTACAACAAAAACGTCCTCAAAAACGCTGGGGGTAATTAACGAGACGTAATTTTCGTCTGTTAATGAAATTATGTTATTTTCGTCGGTTATTAAGTTGCCTTCTTTATCAAGCATGGCATTAACTTTTGCTTTGTCTAGAGCCACAAGATCTACCGAAGCATTTTCTATTGTGTAGAAACCATTCTCAGATACCAAAGGCATGTTTATCATAAAAGTCACTCCATCAGAGTTCATTACAGTTAAAGGATCATCTTCCATTTTAAGATTCTTGCCGTGTCCCATGATCATGTCACCCATTGAGTGTCTTTGATCACTAACCCGATTGTAACCTTTATTTGAATATTCATTACCTTTATAATTGATATTCAAATTCGGAATTTTAGTTCTTTTGACTGTAGCAGTGAGCGAAAAATCTGAAGACACTATTCCAAGTACCACTTCGATACCTTCATCATTAAAGACTAAAGTGGGGCCTGTGCCAACCTGCACCAGCGTTAAAGTATTGTCGTTATCGTCTACTACAACATTTCCTTTTCCATCTTCAATAATAAAAACTACATCTTTTTCAGATAACTGCACCATGGTTTGGGTGCGTGGTGATCTTGAACCAGGAGCCGAGGCAGAACTGGCGATCACCGGAGATGTAGCCACTACGGTCACCACGTAAACCCTCATGTAGTGACACAGGGCTACCATGAGCATTCACCACGACACTAACTGGCTCACCATCAGCAGTCATTACTAGTGTGGCTGCAGCTGCCCCCTTGGTCTTTAAGTGATGATGCTGCTGCTGCTGCTCTTTTAGAGCGTCTCTGCGAGGTCTGTCTCCCACAGCAGTCTTACAGACGTGAGCCTCGAGGCATGCATCAAAACAGCATTTTTTCAGATGCACCAGTCCGTAGTCTGTGTTGCACAACTGAAACATAACATACATGTTAATAGTAACCGTACTTACAAAACTATTACGAAGAGAATTTAAAAATGTTGCTAAACTAGTAGTGTCACGTTCAGAATTATATACATTCTTAGTGTGGGTTTTTTCTTTTTTCCTTTTAGATACGAATGCTATATAGTACATCGTACATATTTTTATTTATATAATTTTATAAAGGGGGTTCCTAAATACTTTTAAATGCGCATTATGTATACATTCTACAAATTCATACATTTACATAAGCGCTCATCTTTAGTTAGAAAATTACCATCCCATAAATGAGTTAAGTTTTACAACCTTCCACAAGTTTTCTAAAATTACTCGACTATGCTTAATACATTTGAAACTTACTTAACATTGGTTCAAGAATGAGCTGTATTACGGAGACGAACGCAAACCAAGTAGCCTATATGGCAGTCAAATATTTACATGTAGGCCTTTGATAGACTACCAGCTATATCTATTGTTTACCTCTCACACCTGGCAATACTTAACCTCTTCAACTAAATTGGTAGATAGAGAGTATGGGCATCAGGAGGGCTAAGAAAGTGTTCTATATGAATCTGCTATGGACTATCTGAATTAACGTTAAAGAAGAATAGACTTATTGGATCGTAGCACTTACTGCAAGATGCGGTGCAGCATCCTGTCCGCGGGGGCAATAATCTCGTAGCGGTGGACACAGACCACGATCCTGAGATACCAAATCTGAAGATATTAAGAACGTTAGACTGCATCAGGATGTGGACATTCTATGCTTAAATATACGTCTTGTAAATTTACTCAACTGGAGAAAAATTACCTATGACTGTGGTAGCAGTAGCAGTTGATGTAATTACTGTGGTAGGGATAGATGGGCCAAGAGAGAGTGCTAGCAATTAAAAAAGCGGGTTAGCAGCATGTGTGGTGGGTGTCAAAGAGTTTCCTTCCTGCGCGCTGGGTCTAGTGCCATGGGAAAGTTGAAATGGTTTCTAGTTGGGGATGAGCAGTGGGGAGAGACTGGGGAAGAGGGAGTGAGAGACCCTCCGAGGTGTTCTGAAGCAAGAGGTTACTTCAGCTGCTCGGCAACAATACCTTCAAGAGCATTTCATATTGTGTGACTGACAGTATGGCAGACACGAAACCTGTAGAAAGGGCCAAGTCATAAATTAGTTTAACCTGAAAGTGCTCCCCCCCTCCCCCCACAAAATCTTGAGGTCTTTTCTACCTAGAGATCCACCGCGATCTTTATAAATAAATTTAAAACTATAACAATCAAATAAAACCCTACATATAAACTAGAAACTAACCAAGTATTCTAAAATTGCTAGTACCAGTAAAATTTTTTTTTAATAACCTTTTGAACTTACAAAAAAGTTTCACAGCCTGCTTCAGGCAACTAATAAGCTACGGCATGATAAAAGGCAGAAAACCTTTGGGAAATATTTTAATTCGTGCTACAGTCAGCTGTTGCCTCAAGGGGGGCCCAACAGAGCGCAACTGCACACAAGTGGCCCTGAGTTAGGGTGTGTTCTTATCCTCAGTCGACAGAGTGGCACGTCATACTCAGACTATTCAATTAAATTAATAGGTACCCCAAAAGGGGTACCTTTGAGGGCATTATTTTACTCCCTCTTAATTTTAGTTATCTTGATAATGCCGGAACCGAGCGGCTTCAATATTCATTATTGCTTTATTACGGAAACCTATGTAAAGATGCATGAAAGTGCTTGTGTTATGTATGCAGCCTTCTGGTCATTTTATACAACCAATTTCCTGAATTTTGTTTGTGCAGTAAAATGATTAGTTTCCAACTTTTGTAACGATGGTATCCTACTGAGGACTAACTAATCGGAACTTTGTTAGGTGCAATTTTTTTTTTTTTTTTTTTTAATCTACGAGTGTCTCTTGTGAACTATAATACACTACTCCATGGATAATCCAGGTTTCTGGACCGACTATATGGATTGCAATATTCAGTGATGAGGACTGTGTAGAACATGAATTTGGCCCATTTTATTAACAGTAATAAAATATAAGTGTTGATTTCCAATTAAACTAGAAAAATCACTTCTTTTTGGCTCCACTTTGCGGTACCGAGACTAAAGTTTGGGCAGGGATTTTTGACATTAAATAAGCAATAGTAAGATAATTTTCTAACGGGATTCAAACCTAAATGCTGATTATTTTTTCAGAAATTATTGGGGTTTGATTATAATCGATAATAGGTTCTACTTTACTAATTTTATAGTAATATGGGTTTTATTAAATATTTTTTTTTCCTCCCTGCATTGTCCTCTCGCTTTCGGGCTGAGGTGGACGGGGGGGGCACTGCGCAAACAGCCCTGCTTTCCCCCTGGTGCCAACTTCTTGTTTTCACACCAAGATGGCTGCCACTACCACCGCAGGAGGACAACGCCATGTGTGTTGACCTTGTTAAAGGGGCAATTTTACCCTACGAATGGCCTCTGTTTTTATACCAACGATTATTACGGGACACGTTTGGGCATTGAAGTTGAAGAAATACACGGAATGCCCTTAATGGATCATCACGATCTTCATAAAGATCTGCACATGGAGGCATATGAAAGGAGCGTGACCTCAGTACCAGGAGAAAACATCACCGATCATCGGTCTGGAGTACAGCCTGCGGGATGCCTCAAAATACTACAACCTGGGTGAGGATCTGCAACGTTCCCTTTTGAGGAGATGTGTAGATATCAGAGAGACATTTCAAAGATATGGCGAGGTGCATGCCATAACTTTAGTTCGATGGACGAGGAATCTATGAAGGTTGCCGGCTGTCTTACAAACCGTCAAGATGTCTTTTAGAAGAACCTATTCCATCGTATGTGTCCACTGGAGGATTTAGGACACGGCTGTAACGGTGACCTATGCGGGACAACGAAAGACGTGTTGCCTGTGTGGCGGCTTTTGACCACATGGTGGCCGGATGTGGTAAAGCAGCAGCGCCACGGCCCTTGGGAACGGCAAGTAGTCACAGAGTCTGTCAGGCGGAAAAAACAAACCCTCTGCCGAAGACTGGAGTGCAGCAGGCAAAGGTAATTTGGGGCGGACGAGTGGAGGGCGTGTTAGAAGAATTGTGTGACACTACCAGTGGCTTCGGATGCTCCCCCACAAAACGGCCCGGGAGTTGAGCAGCAGAGCCCCTGTGGGGTGGAGAGACCTGATCCACAGGAGTTATCCTACCCCCTTACAGGAGATGATTAAGCTTTCCCTTTCCGGACTGCCTGCGGAGAGAACCCAGCTACAGACAGGAGAATCTGAGGTTGAGAAGGACTTGATTGAGCAGATTCCAGAGCCCTGGGGTCAGAGCCTGGCAGTTGCAGTTGCTACAGGTGGAGCTGGGGTGCACAAGGCAATGAAATACTGATAGGAAATGGAGGCAACACTAGAAAGAGGGCTGGAGGCCGTCGGATGAGGAGGTTATAACACCAGCTCAGCGTACAGGGAAGAAACGTGGCAGGAGTGATTAAGAAGGGGCAGGGTTAGTGTGTGCACAGGGGGGGGAGGGGGGTACAGGCGGGAAAGAGTGCACGGGAAAAGACAAGGCAGCAAAAAGTGGAACAGACAGGACACAGAGACAAGAGGAAAGCCACCCTTTCTGAATCTTTAAGTGCCTAATGATAAACGTGAAATGGCCTTAGAGCTGACGGTAAACGAGTTGGTTGGAGGATTTTTTATTGCGTTTTTAAACATTGATGTGTGTTTTATTCAAGAACACAATTTCAAGTATGGCAAGTTGGAAGGCTGAAACGGTTTTTAGATGCATGTTGTAGTTCAGGAAATTTAAAGGGTGGGTGGCTAGTGGCAGTGAGGGAGTCCAGCCCATTCACGGCTCAATGGGAAGAGGGAGGGGGGAGGGTGGTGAGGGTGGAAGGGATATGGGTGAGATTAGAGTATGTTTCGGGGGTTAATTTTTTTTAATTTTATGTTATTTTTAATTTTTTTTTATTATATATATGCCGGCAGATAGTAACATATGGGTAAAGGGAATTTTTGTAAGGGAGGTTTTGCCTTTTCTAATTCGCGGTTTACGCGAATGGTTTCATAATAGGTGAGGATTGGAATTGTGTAATCAGGAAATTAAGGAAGTGGAGCCGAAGGGGCCAGGGTGTGTGCTTGGAGTATTGAGGGATTTGTTGAGGGATGCAGGGGTTTATGACATAGTCAAGGGGCCGATGGGCGGAAAGTAGAGCACACGTTTATGCGGAGGGGTTATGCTGCCAGGTTTGGTATTCGTATATATATAACTCGAGATATAACATAGAACGTGTAATGACGATAGATTTAGGTTTTTCGGACCATCGTGCCGTTTTGGCAGAGATGGCATGGGAAGGGAGGTTCGTAGTATGTGGGTTATTTGAAAATAATTGTGAGGCTACTTCAGGGAGAGGGGAGAGGGGTTGTTTTTTAGGGAATGGTGGACGCGACTATGGGAGGCTCGCAACGAAGAGGAGGATGTCTTGGAATGGTGGGAGAAGCCACGCTAAATTGCAGATTAGGGAGTATTGACCAGCAAAGAGGAAGGATGAAGCGAGGGTGGAGGTATGGTTTACCAGAATATTTAAGGGGCAAGCTAAATGATTGTTATGAATGGGGAGGGGGGCTAGACATGGAGAAATAGAGTTATAAAGGGGAAGATTGAGGATATACAAAATTCTCAGTTTTTGATGCGATATACGTGTGAGGGAGGTTTAGAGGAGGTTTCTATGGGGTACAAAAACCCGTCAGGATGTTTTTGAGGAGATTTAGGAAATAGGCAACAGATGACCACATTATGGGATTAGAGGTGTGAAAGGGGGTGGTGGGGATAAGGTGTGGGGCAGGTAACTTAGTACCACGGATGGAATGAGCAATTATGCTGATTAATTGGTTTAGGGAGAATTTTAGATGCAGAGGGAGGGAGGAAGAGGAGGGAGAGATTCTGGGAGAAGAGAATTCGAGGTATTTTAGGGGACGAGAGAGTGCGGTAAATAAGGGTAGGATCAGTGAGGAGGTGGAGGAGGCGATGAGGGCTTGAGTAGGGGAAAAGCACCGGGCATTGATGGAATTCCTAATGATTTCTATATTACACATTGGGTTGTATAAAGGGAAATGTTGGTCCGGTTGTTTAGTATGAAGGAAAGGGGGTGTTGGGGGAATTGCAGGGCACGGGGGTGTGTTTGGTCTAAAAGGGAGGGGGGGGGAAGCCCTTTGGGGTTTTTTGGGCGTCTCATCATGTGTGCGATTAAAATTTTTTGCGAAGGTTTTAGGAAACCGTATGAAAAAGGTGCTTGACCGGTCCTACAGAGGACGTGTGGGTTTCCAGGTCAAAGTAGCTGAGGGGCAGGGAAGTTTAAGGTTTTGTGGAGGGAAAAAGGGGGGGGGATCTTGGGGTTGTTGGAGAGGTTATGACGGATTTTGAATATGTTGGGTGTTTTTAAAAAAAAGGGTTTTGGTGTTGAGATTGTGCCTGGGCGAATTTTGTATAGCCTGAAAAGGTAGGGTCGGTTAAGGGGAAGTTAGGGTTGCCGGTGCAGATGGGGATGGGTTTGCGAAGGGTTGCCCCTTGGCTCAAAATCTCTTTGCATCAGCAGGCCCCTTTTTTTATGGTTATAGAGGAAGGAGTGTGGGAACGGGAGAGGGGGGTCCTGGAGATGTGGTTTGTGGGGTATGTGGATGACACCACAGTTTGGTAGGAGGGGAAATAGGATTGGGGAATGTGGGATATAATAGAGATTTTTTGGGGGGGGCGACGGGTGAGGGTTAAGGAGCAAAGTCAAATTATTAGAAGTGGCACGTGGGTGGGGGGGGGTTGGGGGAACAGTATGGGTGGAACGTAGTGGGGAAAAATTTAAAATATGTGGGGTTGTGTATATGGCGGGGCTGGGGGGGGGGACAGAGAATAAATTCCAAGGAAGT